AAAATCGCATAACAGCCGAGCATACACCCAGCAGCGCTGCTGATGCCTGAACGGTATGTGGAATGAAGTGGGCGGGCATCGGGAGGCCACTATGGCACGGGGCAAGCACTATGGGCAGTCTATCTGAAGTGTACCTGGCGTATAAGACGACCCCCAACTTGGAGGCATATTTTTCAGGGCCAAAAAATCGTCTTATACGCCGGCAAATACGGTATTTACAGCTTAAAGAATAATTATAACTCAGGTATCATTGTAGCCCAGATCAAGAAATAATATGGAATACAGTCCACAGAGAAAAGCAAACAGAATAGGTTGCCCAACTCAATGACCTGTTTCAAATCAACCCCCTCCATGTGACCACCAACTAGATGCCCCCTCATCCCCACCACAGGTGTCTGATCCTGACTTCTAGAATGAAAAGGAATTTAGTCCTGCCTCCTCTGTTGCATATGAGGTCTATGAGACATCTACATTGCTGTGAGCAGTTGTAATTTCTGCTCTTGCATTCCTGTATAGTATTCTGTTGGCTGAAACATTTTTAGGTATCCCTTCTACTGTAGATAAATGGGGTGAGCCCTAACCGGTTTGGCTCAGTGGATAGAGCGTCAGCATGCGGAGTCAAGGGTCCCAGGTTCGATTCCGGTCAAGGGTATGTACCTTGGTTGCAGGCACATACCCAGTAGGGAGTGTGCAGGAGGCAGCTGATCGATGTTTCTCTCTCATTGATGTTTCTAACTCTCTATCCCTCTCCCTTTCTCTCTATAAAAAATCAATAAAATATATTGTTTTGAAGAATGGGGGTGAAATGACTGAGAATCCATAGCATGGAATCCAGCTTGGGATATATACAGTATTGCTGTGACCTACAAATATTCTTGTCCAGGCTTCCTGGCTCACTGAGCAAACTGCAATTCTTCCTTCCTTTCTTTTCTTCCTTTTGGTAATAAAATATATACAACATATATTTACCATTTTAACCATTTTTAAGTGGCATTAAGCACATTCATTCACAATGTTTTACAACCATCATCACTATCCATCTCTAGAACTTTGTCATCTCCCCAAACTAAAACTCTGTCCCCATTAAACACTAACTCCCCATCCTCCTCCCCAGCCCCTGGCACCCATCATAACTCTAACTCCTCTAGGGACCTCCTATGAATGGAATAATACAACACATGTCCTTTTGTGACTGGCTTATTTCACTTAGCATAAGGTCTTCCAGGTTCATCCATATTGTAGCATGTCAAAGTTTCCTTTCTTTTTAAGGCTGAAATCTTCTTTCAAAAATAGTGATTGGGTCCAATCAATATGGCTCAGTAGTTGAGCATCAACCTATGAACCAGGAGGACAGGTTTGATTCCTGGTCAGGGCACATACCCGGGTTACAGC